TATATATATATATATATATATATATATATATATATATATATATATATATATATATATATATATATATATATATATATGTGTGTGTGTGTGTGTGTGTGTGTGTGTGTGTGTGTGTGTGTGAGTAAAAAACTATAAAAAAGAGAGTCAGTTTTCATGATTAAAGATGACTTTATGCTTCATGTTTTTTCACATTTAACAATCTCTTTCCAAATCATCCCTACATTGGATCTGAGTAATGTTATAGGTACAAGATTGCCTTTTTGTTTAGTATAACAACATTATCAATATTGCTATATCCAATCATGAATATGAGAAAAAAAGAAGCTTCCAAATAAATAAACAGGAAACAAATGATTGCAAAACAAATAATATCAAACATCTATTTGATATTCAAACAAGTAAGAATCAAAATCGGTAAATATGATTCTCATGCTAAGGATGAACTCTCTCTCTCTCTCTCTCTCTCTCTCTCTCTCTCTCTCTCAAATAGCTATATAGTTTAACTCTAAGCAATTAAAGATTGAAACTATGCAGTCAAAGAATCCTTCTACTTTTGTGCATTTCTTCAAGCGAAGAATGCACAGTCTTCATCATAATAAAAAAAGACCTGCAATTTTAGAAGATAACTTTCGGTATTTGTTGGATAATCATCTTTTTATGTCAAATTACATGAAGCATATTAATAATTTTTTGCCCACTAATGGTTATGAAAAGTCTCTTAAAGTTTGATTTATAATTTTCTTTAGGTAAAAGTTTCTCCAATATTCCTTTCTCGAATGAGTTATTTAATAGTATTAGTACATATATTACTATAGCAATCAAAACTTGAGAGGACTAGAGAACGTGTTCCGTCATTATTAAACCCTATTCTCAACATGAGCATCATGACATTCCTTTTCTTCGATTGACAATAACTCTTCTCCCAACTCACAGTCCGATAGGAGGTCTCATAGGTAACTAAAATCGATCGATGTAGCATCAAACGATCAATAAAACACATTGATTTAATCAAAGCAAAAAGAAAATAGTGCGCGTTAATCATCATGTGTGACTATTGATGAGATAATGCGGGACATTTTTTAGCTAGTTAGTCTTACGATATTTGTTACGGTTTTACGGTATGTTAGACCCGCTTATCAAAGATTAAAGATCAACATCTCATTTCTCGTATTTAAAATATTGGTTTGGTAATGATCTATTAGGCTCACTTATTAAATTTCAGGGCTTGAAACTTCATTCGATAATTTTTACACCCACTTATCACAAGTTAAGGGTTCGAAATCCATTTACCAAGAGTTAACGGTATACCTAAACAATGATCTAGCTTTGTTATATCGAACCTATTTACTAATGGTTGAGTGTTCAAAATATTATTCGATAAGTTTTATACCTAAAACATTGCTACGGTGATAATGTACGAGACTCACTCACTCACTCACTTATGTTAAATATTATATGATAATTTTTCTTTTTGTTGAGCTCAGCATAACCTCCACATCGATTCATACTAAATTTAATCTAAAATATTTGTCTAATGATGATGTATTAGATCCATTTGCGAAAGTCACCGCGTTTTAAATCTTCAATAATTTTAGCATATAGATTTTTTTATTAAATATAAAACATATATATTAACTAAGTTGAAGCATTACAAAGGCCACTCCTAACATCTAACATCAGAGTGGAACAAAAAATTCAAATGAAAAGGCTACTCTCATATGTAAAAAATGATGATACCGTCGTGTCTCTAAAGAATGTTTAACCATCCGATTTATCTCTCTATATACATGAGAGAGAGGTTATTTATACATCAAAAACATTCAAATGGTCCAAATATTGTGCACAACATTTCTAACAGCCTAAGCATGCAAAATCTGAACAAAAATTAGAATCCATATGCACCATCCGAAAGCCATCTGATACCATAGTGTAATCTGCACAGCCATATCACCTCTCAGTGGGCTTTGATTGTGTGATATAATGAATCCCATTTGAATGCAAGTCTGATAGCTTCACCTTTTCATGTATCACTCCAAATAAGATGGGCAACCTCTAAAACATGCATCGTTTTAGTCCCCACACGCACGATTTGGCCAACTCGCTACGAAATCATCATCGGTCCGAGGAAAGTGACGATGCTGTAGTATGCATTATAGATTCCCTTATCAGCCACACACATTGCACAGTCCTCTCCATCACCGCTTGTGTTTGCACGCTTAAAAGGCTAGAGAGAGAGAGAGAGAGAGAGAGAGAGAGAGAGTTCATAATATTACTGAGACTGCATGACAGATCACCGAGACCTGACAAGCGACTAAAGATATAAATAGGTTTGGTTTGAGGTCAACATCACTCCAAATTCTACTAGCAGTATTGGGTGTGTGGAAGGATGGATAAGGACGGACTCCCAGTTTTGAGAGTTGATGTGATACGACTTGTTGATTCCATGTCGCGGAGATGATGGATCAGAATTCGAGGCGAGGCAATCAACGAGAAGCACCGGTGTCTCTCTAGAGATTGTGAGGACTTTAAGCCTACTGGCACCTATTCTCGATACCGACCATGAAGCTTCTCCCCCAATTCAGTGGTGGAAGCATCCTTTGAAGAACATTATCGCTTTGATGTAATTGTGTAAGATTCCAGGCAACTTCATGTTGTGCTCAACTGCAACATTTTACATCGCATTTGTGTCCTATTTAAAACACTATTTGGATACAGATAGGAGTTTGACGTATGGACACCAAAACAGATGATGGCATGGATATTAGGATTAGCATGCCACCTCGACGGTCGAAACCACCACCCTAAGACGGTCATACCATATCATCCATCACTAGTCATTCTAATCGGCTCAACCATTCTAACCGCAAAGGATTCTAAGAAGTCGATCATCGTCTATCATATCCCTTTGAGATTTTATAAACTTAAGCATTAAAGAGATCAAGTCGAACTTTTACATCTCAACTCTCTATTGGCAGATCGATTCCAATTTGACTCTACAACATCTCAAGTTGGGTCAACCAACCTATTCGAATGAGTAGGTCAAGTTATTTTCAACATCTTTTGTACATTTATTGTGATTTAGTTTCTTCCGGAATCAATACTTAAGCTGACTTTGGTATTCCTTATAGAGTGATAGAGGCAAGCACAAGATGTATAGTAGTCAAGGTTGACATATGGGCTAGAGGAACAAGAGGCCATGGGCTTGTCATCATCAAGAAGAGACACCCACTGTGTTGTTGGATGCTCACTCTCAAATGAGCAAGAAATTTTGCATGCCTCATGCAACAATAGTCCACCAAGAATATATGTTAATTGAAGGAACAACCACCAAACATCTCATCAGATTTTTACTCCCATTGCTGTGCATGCTTCCAGATGATGCAACTCTCAGAAGTTTTGAGTTCTAACAGAGGCTCATCAGACACGAACAGAGATTGCGCAACAAAGCATAAGATGAAAGCAATCGGTTCTCATGTGGCCTTTGCAGGATACTTGATAGCGTTCTTGACTATCTTCTTGGTTGCTGCATCTCCGAGATCGATGCCGCAGATATCAGACAGTCTTATCAGGTACAACAACACATCTGATAGCTCCTCTCCCAGATGCTCCTTCTCGGACTCCTCCCAATTCGGCAGGCTCTTCGCCACTTCTCCCCTCCACATAAAGATCTCTGCCAGCTCCCCCACTTCACCAACCTGTTCAAGAGAGAGAGAGAGAGAGATGAGTTCAGTCACTTCATTCAGACTATGTTCAAGACATCAAGAGGATGCAGAAGAGCATACTGAATATTTGTAAGATGAGTTGTTCAACATTTGGCTTCTGTGAATCGGATAGTGGCTAGATTTAGTAGCTCATAAGAGAATGTGGTCTTGTCATTATGACTAAGCCCCAAACCTAATGCTCATACTTGAGAGAAGTGTAGTGTTATAGAGGTGCAGCAGCTTGACCAAGGAAGAAATATGATGTTAGTCTCACAATGGAAGACAAACTTCCATCTCACTCATTCATTATAAGAATGCTTTTCTTGTTGTTGCTGCTAACAGAGCCGTTGACAGAGTCAACATCATAATGAGAACCACATGCACTTGGCACAGTGTCACCCTTGCACCATTTTAAGGATGCCAACTAAAGAGTGCACAGGGTTAGTCTGGAATTGGGGTTTGTTGCCTTACTCTTAGTTTGCCCCCCACTTGGAGTGCCCAACATCAAAAGGTTCCTTGTGCCAAAATGGTGGAGAATTTGACTACTTTTGTGCATGATGGATCAGCATAAGATAAGCTAACTATTTTGTGTTATTGATTGTTCACATGGAAGCATGCTGAAGACATCATACGAGGAAATAAAAGCCTTGTTTGAACCATACATTTGATATCCTATGAATTCATAGGGGCATGATCAAAACTAGACATGAGCAGCTCTCATCAGAAAAGAGAGAACAATCAACACTTGGGATGAGCATAACTTTGTTTGTTGTCCACAATTAGATTACATGGATTTGCAGAGTCCAGAAAATTCTTTGTTTTTATCATGGGTCTTCCAATCACAACATAAGAAGTAGTAAAGATATTTGTTTTCATACAAGTTCTAATGCATGATCCATGAGAAGAAGAACAAAGTCAGTACACCCAGGGGAAGTAATGCAATTTCCTATGTTGATTGAATCATCCTATCATGCTGAAGAAAAGCCATGACAACCCTGTATTATTCTGGATTACTGTAAGCTTATTTGGAGCATCAATTGCTTCGCATTATAATCAGAAATAACTGCAGAGTTATGCAAATGAACACAGACATACATGCAAGTATTGATGAGCAAGCAAGAGGGACAAAGCAATACCATGGCAAGCAGAAGATTCCTCGGGCTGTGGTACTGCTCCCAGTCCCTTTCCTTGGCAAACTCCTCGAGCCTATTGGAGAGCTCCTTGAGACTCACATCAGGTGCCTTCGCCTCTGCCTTCTCCATTGCTTCCCCCTTCGCTCTCTCCTTCCTTGTATTCCTTACTCCTCTTTGCACAAACAAGGACTTGATGCTCTCACAAAGTGGCAAAGGAATTTGCCATGAACAAGCATATAAATATATCAAAAGTACTCGTTCATGCACCGAAAGAGGGAGCATGCGATTGGTGGACGGGGAAGTGTAAGAGGACAAGGTCGCATGACAAATGCCTGAGAATCCACCACTACCTCCCCCACCCCCACCATGCACAATTGCCAACTCTCATTCCCCAGATTTGATATGGGAGTATCCAAGTGACCGCATGTGGTTTACTTCTCAAGGATATGGGTTACATCATGAGGGACATAAATCAAACAGATGGTGGGCGAATCAAGAAGGTACACGGCTCGGTCGCACCCATTTCATCCAACTCGTACTCAACAAGCCACTGTAGTTTTTGCAGGAGAAGAGGAATTTGGGCTCCTTTTCCAACGAGTGTCACGTTTTACGCGCCCGACGATGATGATCAATGTCTCCTCCTCGCATCGACCAAATGCATCTACAGCCATCGCAACTGTTCTTGAAGACAGAGAGCAATGGATGTGCTGAGACCAGTATTTGCATCACCAAGTCTCCTTCAACAAAGTATGACTGCTGTAATCTGCAGAGAGCCATTAGAGAAGACATGAGTCAACTCCGGAAGGCCGGACACGGCTCGAGGAGCTGCAATGGCCCCATCGTCATTCTTCCAGCAAATACAAGCTCTCTCTCTCTCTCTCTCTCTCTCTCTC